CTTTTTTTTTTTTCAAAACAATAAAGTATAGACAGAAAAAAAACCCATAGGCTACCTAAGCATAGCAGAAATTACTTCCATTATTATTGAAATATCATCAAAAAAACATTTATTGGATATGAATTGTTGAATGTCACAAGTCTAAAGTAATAAAAAAAAACTGATTTAGGTCATGAACATAAAATTTTAATGAAAAACAAAAATTGCCTCGAGTAACAGTAAATTTAGATGATTATACCGGTAATCAGCCTTTGTTGGCCTATTTTGATTTGAATTCACACGTGACATTTCTTCAAAACAAAATGCTGTGTCCGTGTACATTTAAGAGCAGAGATCAGAAGATCTGTTCTAAAATTTGGGTAATCAGTCAACATATATAACTTAAAATAAAACAGGAAATACATTGTTAAATCTAAACGGCCCTTGATTGTATTTGTCATATTTGTCAATTTTGAATGACTGAAAGTGAAATTCAGTCGGTGATCGTTTAGTTAATAAAAGGGATCTTTTTTAGGACATATTTGTTATTCTGACCATTTACATGCCATAAATTTGAAGAATTTCTAAAACCTTTGGACCACTGCTTATTTTTCCTCTGTGTCTTATCCGAAGAGCTAGAGGATCTATTTATATGGAATACAACCACAAAATATGTGAGTGCCCTCTTGTCAGTGATGTATCTGTCTAGTCGTTAGATAGGATCAAAAAATGTGGGCCCGTGTATACAGTGGCATGCATGTAAAAGATCCCCTGGCAGTTGGAATTCGATGTAAAAGTAGGCCATAGTTCCGCTTCCCAGGCAAAATTTCCCTCTCAGCACACTGTATGGCGTATGCCCGTTTTCATTATCCCAGTCGGAGCTGAACAGTAGGATGTTAAACCACATTTCATTTATATTTTAGTGCAACGTTTCAACAAGTGTTCTCTTATTGATTTTAAGAACATATAAAACTCCCCACTCAACAGTCATACAAATTTTATTCGTCTTAATGTTTCGGGTAATATTATGGCCCTTTTTCAAATCGTACTTTATGTCTACTCTCTCTGCCTGCATCGTCGTTTGATCCAGCAGCAGCTATCCTGTCCAGCCTGTGCTACTCTTTTCAGGGAGTGTTGCCTTCCACCAATCCACCCCACCCCACCCCACACTCTATTCCAGCTTTTCAGGGAGTGTTGCCTTTCCCCTTCCATATTTCCTGTATACATGTATATAGTTATATTGCCATTTACATGTAGTATTTAAAAATGATAAGAGAATAGATGTTTTTCTACAGCATGAACATGCTTAATGGTGTATGAAAAATATCACTTTCGGGCTGTGTCTGTCAGTGTAACCATGAACATTAAACATATATTTGTAAGGCCATGTAAAGCCGAAGTGAGGGTAGTATTTAGTCTGAGATAGAGTTTGTATATATTTATATCTCCAGTGTGTTAAATACATATCAATATACATTCTGGCTTCGAAAACTTTGCAGAGGAAATAACCTCGACTTGAATTCATAGTTGTCTACTATGTTGGTTAAAGCTCCCTGTCTTTAATCTGCAAGCTAAAAATAAACTCAACTAATGAGACTGACTCACTCTTAGGCCAAACAAGATATGGAGTAATATGTAGTCAGTACATTGTACCGGGTACACATCGGATTAATTTATCTTGATCTTATTAACAGAACATCGCCACAGATGTGCACAGGAGATTTTGTGGATATATTTTCCCAGAAATTGCGGATCAATATGTATGGAAAATCCTAACTTTTTTTTTAGGCTGAAAGTTTATGCCTTCTGGTGTGTGTCTTTTATCTCCGATTTTAACTTTCTCATTTGATAATGCAATGCAATGCAATGCAACAGAAGTTTAGAAAATATATGTAATACATGGATTCAATTCTGGGCCCTGTTTCTCGAAATCTTAACTAAAGATAAAATCCAAATTTTAGTAGATTGTTCAATTTTGATTGGCTAAGCACGAAAAGCAATCTAATATTATCCAATCAAATTACTAAAATTTGGATTTTGTCTTAGTTAAAATTTCGTGAAACGGGGCCCCTGTTCTGTATTGGGGTGGGAGGGGGGGGGACACTGTGACAAGAGTAAGGTGCTGATTGACTAACCAGGAAGTCCCTTGTTTGATACCGTTGTTTTCCGAGAAATACATCAAGATTTTCCTGTGTGGAATAGTGTCTAGTCATTCAGATGGGACAAAAAACAAGGTCTTGGGTACACATTGTGTACATGTACATGAAAGATCCCATCACAGTTGGAATATGAATTACTGATCTGGCAATATTCATTTTATTCATTATCCATTTTGACCAGTCTTATCTTTCAGGAAAAAAATTGATTTTTGGACCATCTTTTTCTTGGGGTGACACTCTACGAAAAAGCCTAAGTCTCCGTCAATTAAAGTCTGATCAATATGAAAATTGGCATGCTCATTCTTTGAACAATTCTGCATCGATTTAAAATGCATTATATTTATGAATTTCATCTGACTACATGGTCAGTTTCTGGTCCTCAGTAAAGTCGTACTTGTTTTCATTCCTAACATCAACTGGCTGTCAATTCATCTAAAAATAGGGGGGTTGGATGGCTGAGGGTTAGCACGTGCGCGCTGTATCATAAAGTCTGTCATTGAGTCAACTGGCTTGGTTTCCTCCTCTGCCAAAGAACCCTACGCGCAAGCGAATTATGAAAATAAAAGGGAACCATATGTTAGTCCCGAAATGACCTAGTTTGTGTCGAGTGGACATTAAACCCCATTTCTCTCTCTCTCTCTTATCTTAAAATAAGTGTGGAAAATGAACTTTAAATTACATCTAGGTCATTTTTCAATCAATAAAAAATCTGGGAATTCTTTTTAATAATATTCTAAAATAACTCCTGTATTTTAAGTAAAATGTGTAATTTGATCTAAATGTAATTTTGTACTATAAATAAAATTAATCCACTAGGATGTTTTCTCTTTAGGTTACTCATTAAAAATAAGGTCTATTTTAGAAGACTAGTGAGTGTTTTTTTCATTGATGAAAATACATCAAATAATTCTCTTGATACATGTTCGAAATGAAAAAAATAGATATTAAGCGTTGTTTTTAGCCATTTCGGTATTGGGTAATAGAGCCTCCTTCACCTCGTGACATTTAAGTATTGATCGGAATTCTATCTGGAATATAGCCAGTATTCTGGATGTTTCTCAAATTCAACAATAGAGAAAAAAACCAAAATCAATTAAATTGAACAGAAATTTTCATTCATAATGGTAGATTCTTATTCAGGACGGAAATAAAAACATCTGATATGAAATCAATAGTAGAATAGGATTGACACTACAGTACTTCTTTAGAGAGGAGTTCACTTTGATTGTCCATTCCTGTATTGGAAATCATTCTTGGCAAGAATTGTACCTTTAATATTCCATTCCTGGCTAGATTCAGTCTTTTAAATTGTGTACCATTTAAATTCATGTATTTGAAACCGTTCATGAAGAGAACCATACAATATGGTTAATATTCCATTCCTAGAAAAGTCATGGCTCTTTTTGAAACTGTGATGGTGTCATTTTAAAAGTCATAGCTCTTTTTGAAACTGTGATGATGTCAGTTTAAAAGTTGTGGCTCTTTTGGAAACTTTGATGGTGTCAGTTTTTGAAAGTATGACATCGTCTGTTTAATTGGCGTACTATCAAATTTTATCATCACTTTAGACATTTTGACATGTAAATAAGTAAATTAATGAGATACAATCCTTAGAGAGCACAGAGGCTCTTCAAATACACATTTAGATGTACGGGCCGTATATTTTGATCGACCAGCCTTGCCAAATTCAATTCACTTTCAATTAGTTTAGATCATTCTGCTACTTTCAAATTTGATAAATAAAAAAAGAGAATATTCCATTAACTTAATCAAGCGAGACAGACACCTTTTACGATAATATGGCTGCCTTTCTCGTCAAATATTTATACTTAACACTTTTAATTGAGTTAGAATTGATCTTTAAATTGTTTTTTTTTTTTTACGACGGCTCAAATTTTTTGTGTGATATTGTCGAGAATTTAGTCTGGTTACATTAATTTTTAAGTAAATTTCTTTACTTATCTACTAGTATTGATTCTGTTATGTTCATTAATTATGAAAAACAAAGAAAATTTCTGTGTTAAATGAGAAACAAAGTCCAAAGTTTAATCACTTGAGTCACACATTTTACAATTTCAAAGTGGGTGTTGATACATGCTGGTTTTTGACAAAGTGTGTGTGGTTTACAAAGTGCGTTTGTCGTTGACTGGTCATTGACAAAGTGTGTGTGTATTTGACATGGTGTTGAGAAAGTAGGTGTGTGTTTGACATGGTGTTGAGAAAGTAGGTGTATTTGACATGGTGTTGAGAAAGGTGTGTTGACATGGTGTTGAGACAGGTGTGTTTGACATTTTGTTGAGAAAGTGTGTGTTGACATGGTGTTGAGAAAGTAGGTGTATTTGACATGTTGTTGAGAAAGTGTGTGTGTTTGACATGATGTTGAGAAAGGTGTGTTGACATGATGTTGAGAAAGTGTGTGTTGACATGGTGTTGAGAAAGTGTGTGTTGACATGGTGTTGAGAAAGTAGGTGTATTTGACATGGTGTTGAGAAAGTGTGTGTGTGTTTGACATGGTGTTGAGAAAGTAGGTGTGTTTGACATGGCATTGAGAAAGTGTTTGAGTTGGCTACTACTGTTACATGTACTTTACCTCTACTACTGTCACTACTACTACATGTACATGCTTTATGAAAAGAGTGCTTAAATATTATTCATAGCATCATCTTGCCATATATAGTTCAATAAATTAATACATTTCTTTCATACGTGATCAGATGAATAGCTCCTGTCAGTTTCATATTTCATACAGCAGGATTGGAAAAAATTCAATATAAACATTTATTTTAGGAAGAAGATTTCCTATTACAATCTAATGAAAACTTAATATCTGTAGTAATATATTTCAAATTTTTCTCTTTTCAGGAGGCACGAAAGGCTGCTGCAGATGCCACCCTAGCCCACGCCACGGCAAATTTAGAAGCCGTGGGAAGAATACAGATGCGTACGAGACGTACACTTAGGGGCCATCTTGCAAAAATTTATGCCATGCATTGGGCGTCAGATTCCAGGTTAGTTTGTACCCTGAAAAAAAAAAATTAAATAGTTGTCCCTGTTCAATAGGACATATTTATATCTAGTAGGGCACAGATATTTAAATTTTTCTTCATCAGTTGTAATCACAGGGAGAACAAAGAAAAAAAATTTTTGATAAAGGAAATATTCAAAAATCCAAAGTAATTTGAGTTTGTCCAAATTCAGTGCTCGACAACCTTTTAGGATTGCATTAAAGGGACGATCCCGATTTAAACAGAGTCTCAAAAATAAAAGTCTGAGTACGTATGACATTTAAGTGCCAAAATATAGAGGAATGTTGTATTTACCTTGTCTCAAATTTTCAGCTCAAAATATTGAGTCGCTTGGACGTGAACGTTAAAACTGCTTATCCAGACACTTAACCCTTTTAAGATTTTGGGTCAATTTTTTCATTGCGTAAACTGATAAACGATTCCGGTTCCTTAAAAGAGGTCTATTTGGCATTTGTCGAATATCAACCATCGATTTGCAACATGTAGTGATATCCACTGTTTGAACCAGTGCAATTAATTTAATACTTTTATTAGATTTAGAATTTAATTGAAAGCTCTATTACATGTATCTATAAATAACATTTATAGATCACTGTTTTAATATTAGGATAGTATTAGGATCGTCAATATTAGAATAAAAGTAACTGGTTACTGCCGAGCACTGAAAGTTTAGACTTTACATGTTTTATCTAACAGTTATATATGCAGATCCTCCTTAAGATCATTCTTAGTCCTACACGTAGTTACTAAGTAATAAGATTAAGGTTGCTACTACATGTAACTAACTCCAAGCTGATATACAAATTAGAATTTGGATCTTTCTCCTAATATGTAGATTTTGATATATTATGAGCTGTATTTACTCCACATCCAGCATACTAAACTTTCCTTCATTTACTAGTACAGAAGAAAAAGTTAACAAAAATAGAGGCAGAAAGTGTACTGATAAACAAAAAGCACAATCTATAACTTGATTTGAAAGAAATTTTAGTTTGTTGGATGAAAGTAAATAATATAATAATTCTTTTACAACTAAAGATATGCAGATTTATAGTTTTAAGAGCTAGAGAGAACCTTTCGATTAGTAATCCAGATGGCAGAGATATTTATCAAATATTACATTATAGGATCTAGCTAGTAGTAGTACATATTATACATCAGACATCTTCATGATATCAAGGTACTATGCTGTACATCTGTTACCTTGAATGCTCCAGCCGACTTTGTTGTACTGTACAAGATTAGTGAATCCAGCTTGTTAACTGTACCAATCACAGTACATATTGTAATTCAATATATTAGGTGTTCTATTTTGAGCTTAAGTGTTTTCTCTTTGCTTGGGTGCCTGGGTGTTCTCTTTGGGCTTGGGAGCCTGGGTGTTCTTTGGGCTTGGGTGGCAGGGTGTTATCTTTGGGCCTGGGTGCAAGGGTGTTACATGTATCTTTGGGCCTGGGTGTTTTGCTTGGGTGTATGGGTGTTATCTTTTTGATTGACAGGGTTGTGTGTTCCTGGGTTTGAATTGTATCCTTGGGCAACGTATTTGAAAACTTACAACAAGGGATTGAACTTAAGTACAGAAAATTGATTATTTCTACCCAGATGTACAGCAAGGTTGGCTGAATGCCGACTTGGTATACGTATCTCATAACACCTTGATGTTGTGAAAATGATAGTATAAAATCATATTGGTTCTCAATTCTACTTGTATACTCATTGCGGACTTTATTTATTTTAATATTTTCAAAGTGAAATAAGGTTTGTGCCCTAAAATGCCAATATATTCAAAAATTTTAATTCCCTTGAAATTGACTAAATCAAATAAATCTTTTAGAAATTTCATTAAAAATCAATATTGAATCTTGATTAGAAGTCAATTTGTAAAAGGTTTTAAATTTTTGAAACTGAGGCGTGGAAATTTAGTTAGTTCTAAAAAGACTCAAATTTATTTTTAGATTTGCTCTGCTCCTTTTTAACGCATGTTTAAACCCTTAGATAGCTTTTTAGTTAACCCAATTCCACCCTTTTTTACAATTTATTGATTCTGGGATTTCCTTCATCAAACTCCTGTGATAGGGTAATTTTTGAATTTGAATAAGAATTTGCAAGGAATTTTGTCCCAAGAGGATTTTGTAGACCTAGATATTGGAAGTTTGATGAAAGGTTATCCCAACATTGTTTGTTGTCTACAGCAACAAAGCAGGAGATGAAAATCATTTATTTCCAATAATATTTCCTTTTGACATTATTGAACTTGATAGAGTTCATGTAGAATGCACTTAGTTTAATGAGAAAAACCTAACACACAAATTAGAACAGTTTTCATACCACGTTCAAATCAAATCATTAGCTTTTAAAGGCAGTAAAAGTTGAATGTGTTACTGAAAGACAAACTTTCAAGTAGAATTTGACATTTCATAACTTTCAAGCCATTAAATTATTCTTTATCGATAAAAAGGCTTATTTCGATATTTGTCATATCATTGCCTTTAAACTTTCAAGTAGAATTCAACATTTCATAACTTTGAAGCCATTAAATTATTCTTTATCAATAAAAGGCTTATTTCGATATTTGTCAAAAATGACGTCATTGCCATTAAATAATAAAACAAAAATTGTTCTGATTTGCGCCTTAGGTTTTAAAATAGTTTGATTTTTAATGTAACTGTTTTCTCAATCACTTCTAGAGATTTTCATCTTCATACATGTAAATGTCATCCATTCCACTTTTCAGACTTTCTTACTTTTAATCTAATTACTAATTTTACTTGTCATTCACCTGTGTCTTAAACCCTGTATTTGTTTACCTAAAATATGTGTCCTATGTTTTATCCTTTTGTTTTAAAAAAAAAAAACAACAAAAATCTTGAAAATAACCAAATAAGTATTTAATGAAAGAAGTTTTCATGAAAAGCCTAAAGAACATTTTGAATTTGAAGTCGGTTCTTCATGTTATATTTGATTGAGCGAAGGAAAGATGTTGTAAAAGTGCAAAAATTATTCGGTGGATGTAACCAGTTTATGACTGAAATAGACAGTCAGGGGTTGGAATCGTAGTGTTGGTTTGAGGCGATCCTATGTCAGGTTCCTGTTACTATTTTGTCATTATATGATCCACGTCCATATTGAGTGCTCAATCTCTCACAATACCATCAACATAATTTTCTTGCCCAAGTTCCAAGTAAGATAAACAATGAATAAAAAAACCAACTTGCCATAGAAATAAACCAGAAGTGTACTGTTCGATCTGTGAGAAGAAATCGCTCCCTTATGTCGGAATTATTTATCGTATCTGTTTCGATGAGATGTTTATTTCTGAGAATTCAATCTCTATGGCCGGATGGTATAAATAATACTTAGTTATCGCTTTTATGTGTATTGGTAATAGGAAAGAAAATAATAAGGGAATAAGGGAATAAATGAATTTAAAACACACCATAATGATCAATAGGCTTAAACCATCTAGATATTATTTCATTTACAATAACTTGTAGTAGTCGGACGCTGAAGACTTGTCATCTTGAAACAGCTAGTGAAAATAGCCACGAATTATTCACAGCGTTGAAGAAATCAATAATTCTACTAGATAATAGAAAGGTATCCGGGGAGATGAGTGCAATTATAGCGCACGACTATAGACGAAGCCCAGCATGCAACATTTCTAACGAGATCTGTAGAAAAACACAGCCTGTTCTTGTACTTGAACGGCGAAGTATGGAATGAAGAATATCTGATTGAATAAAAGAACACACTTCACATACATGTAACTGGTTTAAAAAAACCAAAAAAATAAAGAATATTAAAGGAAAATTATATTTTGATCTGTATAGTCTTAACAAATTCCAGCCTTAACTAGGAGTCTAATTGTAAAAGGACAACATATGGTGCTTACAACAAACTGTCTTTAGATTGACAAGTCTTTACTTAATCCTTCAAAAATATACAGACACATTTATCAAGTTAAAATATTTGAAGCAAGTGTTGGTGACAGCCGGCTGCAGTCTGGGATATATAATTAAGATAGGACAAACATTGTGTAGTTGTAAATTTATTTTATAAAGCTTTAAATTCATTACCATGCGCAGGATGTGAATCAACCGCAGAATGTGACTCAACCGTTTGTGAAATTTTATCTTTACATTAGAAGTTAGACGAGATTCATCGTCTTGTATTATACAAATATATATCGGAATAGCCAACTAATCTAACTTCCAAGATAATAATTTTAAAAAAACTCACAAATTAATGCAAAATTATGTATTCTCCTTTAGATAAAAAAAAAATCCAAAGAAAGAAAAAGAAAAGTTGTGTGTCTTCAAAATGGTTGATAATAGCTTCTAAATATTTTAAAAAAAGTATTTCACTCTATAAAAGCCAAATATAAGTCAATTTTAATTAGCAAATAGGGTAAATATGCCTGTTTAAATGACCAAAGTATTTCATTTTCTTAAAACAAATTAGAAGACAGTTTTAATCGCAACAGTATTGGATTCCGAAATAGAATATTTGTCATCAACATTCATTGTCACACTCATAAACCAAAATCTCATCTCGTAACATCTAAACAGTAAATATCTTGATTTTTATTTTTATAAGGATTTTAAAGTAAGTAAAATAAACCAATGTCGTAAAATGACACGAATCAATCAATATTAGTTATTGATAACGAGGAAACGGTAACTCTCAGTGTTTATGTATAAATATTTATATATATACAGTGTAATACAATATAATCAACAGTTCGATATATATATATATGTAAATGTATGTTAAAATCGTCCATATAAATATTTGTCATGAATTGTCAAAACTATTTATTATGTGATGTTTATTTATTCAAAATTTGTGTTATATTTATGAAGTTATATATATATATATAGATGATACATGCTGGAAATGCTGTGTATTGTCACATTTTTTTGTGTGTACAAAATGTCTATCTAAAATGGTATTAAGTGTTCTGGAGGAAAGTGTTTCAGACATGT